TGGCGAATGCGAGACGCCGGGGAGAGGGAGACGCCATTGTGGTAGACGACAGCTCGAGGAGAAGTCGCCAGTGTGCGGCGTGAAGACTTGTTGCGGAATTGAGCAACTCGTTTTGGTGTCAGAGTCTAGGACACGTTGCGGTGAAGTTGTCAGCAAGATTTAACCCGATACTCATCCCAGAACTAGTTAATTTGTTCTACGTGATTCGTCGTGACCGGCCAAATAAACGCGTCGACATCCAAGCCAAGCTAGCTGCCACGTGTTCGCCATTGTGACGCTAGAGTCTGGGACGCGATTTCGGCAAGCTTCAACTTATTCAGTACCCTATTAGCTAAGTATATATATAACTCCCTTTTGATGAATCATTAGAGATTGTATATGGCAGGGTAGCTTGTCGTTACGTCGAGCAACTTAAACAAAACCCATGTTAGTATTCTAGATTTATTTATTTCCATTTTCTTGAATATAGATATTTAGTAGCCTAGTACATTGCTACGTAATATCCCTTAAATTACAGCTCGCGTGTGAGGCATCCACGAGCTGTTACTTTACAAGTGTTATTCATCTCCCAGCGTTCTACGAGGAATTCCGGAGATCCCGAGGATGATTCATAACTGATGTCGTTGAAAACGTCTTCAAGCTAAGACTTTTCGTATTTCTTTAATTATTCAAATTATCAGTATTTTAGTTATCATTTATAGAATGCTGTACACTGGAGATAATACGTGTTTATTATAATGATTAATTTCTGATGTTGATGATCTATATTCTTATTGGTGATAAATTTTCTATTGATTCTTTAATTGGTCATAAGATTAGGTTATTACACAATGAACTGGTGCACGAACCACACTAGTTCCTAGACATATATGAAGTTCTAGCAATAACCCCCCAATGTAGGTGTTTGAAGCTTTGATTCAAGTAAATTATTTATACAGCCCATTAATTAATCAAGTGATTATATTTCATAATATTTCTCCATAGTCACTGGTTCTTACAGGAATTTCTAATGATCACATTTTATTAGTTTCCCTCTTTACTATAAAAGCGGGTGGTCCTTCGTGATTGATTTCATTACTTTAATAATTAAATAGATAGAGTCGAGCCCCAAATGTCCCACATTTAGGACCTCACATTATTGAGGAAAATGTTGCAATAAATTAATGCCAAGATGTGCTAACCCAGAATATAATGTTCAGGTATATAAATACATTCATGTTCATGGAGCGACCAATCAACATCCTGGCAGTTAAAGTAGGAGAAGCAGCACACTGATGCTCCAGTTCCTAGACTGACTTACAGTCAACACTTATGATGACACTTTGTGAAGTGTGAATTAAAGCATAACATAGATGTACTCACCTAGTTGTTTTCACCTAGATGTGTTAAGATCATGCTGGTAGTGTGTGATGGTATATTGTGTTTCCGGTGTCTGGAGGAGAGGTGTGTTTCCACTGTGTGATGGATGGAGCACAGTTTATGTGATGGAGGGAGCACAGTTTATGTGATGGAGGGAGCACAGTTTATGTGATCGATGGAGCACAGTTTATGTAATAGATGGAGCAAAGTTTATGTGATAGATGGAGCACAGTTTATGTGATAGATGGAGCACAGTTTATGTGATAGATGGAGCACAGTTTATGTGATGGATGGAGCACAATTTATGTGATGGATGGAGCAAAGTTTATGTGATAGATGGAGCAAAGTTTATGTGATAGATGGAGCACAGTTTATGTGATGGAGGGAGCACAGTTTATGTGATGGATGGAGCACAGTTTATGTGATAGATGGAGCACAGTTTATGTGATGGATGGAGCACAGTTTATGTGATGGATGGAGCACAGTTTATGTGATGGATGGAGCACAGTTTATGTGATGGATGGAGCACAGTTTATGTGATAGATGGAGCACAATTTATGTGATGGATGGAGCACAGTTTATGTGATAGATGGAGTACAGTTTAGGTGATAGATGGAGCACAGTTTATGTGATGGATGGAGCACAATTTATGTGATGGATGGAGCACAGTTTATGTGATAGATGGAGCACAGTTTATGTGATGGATGGAGCACAGTTTAGGTGATCGATGGAGCACAGTTTATGTGATGGGATGGAGCAGAGGTAATGTGATGGATAGAGCCGAGCTAATGTGATGGATGGAGCAGAACTAATGTGATGGATTGAGCAGATTGAGCACACACGCACGCACGCACACACACACACACACACACACACACACACACACACACACACACACACACACACACACACACACACACACACACACACACGCACACACGCACGCACACACGCACACACGCACGCACGCACGCACGCACGCACGCACGCACACACACACACACACACACACACACACACACACACCGAGACTAGTACCCGAGCTGAGAGGTATGAGCTACGAGGAGAGACTACGGGAATTAAACCTCACTTCGTTGGAAGACAGAAGAGTTAGGGGGGACATGATCACCACATTCAAGATTCTCAAGGGAATCAACAGGGTTGATAAAGACAGGCTGTTTAACACAAGGGGGCACACGCACTAGGGGACACAGGTGGAAACTGAGTGCCCAAATGAGCCACAGAGATATTAGAAAGAACTTTTTTAGTGTCAGAGTGGTTGACAAATGGAAAGCATTAGGAAGTGATGTGGTGGAGGCTGACTCCATACACAGTTTCAAGTGTAGATATGATAGAGCCCAATAGGCTCAGGAACCTGTACACCTGTTGATTGACAGTTGAGAGGCGGGACCAAAGAGCTAACGCTCAATCCCCGCAAGCACAACTAGGTGAGTATATTCACCAGTATGACCATACTGTAGCTGGTGTATGGCGAGTTCATACTGTATAGTGATGTTCAGGCCGTTTAGCCTAGTATCAAAAATATTATTTTATCTATAAAATATCCTTTTGACAATACTCTAGTATATATTACGTATTGCCATTGCATGTATAATATACCTATACATATTATGTATCATTACCAAAATTTTCTGCCATGTATTTGTGGAGATATTAGAAGTATAAGAAATAGCAAAAGCCTAATTGCCTGTGTGTTGCAAAATACCATTATGTCTATGATAGGAAATTCTATGTATTGTTGTAATTGACATGATATGTGTATTACAATGTAGAATGTACACATATCGATATCTGATGTATGACTAGCATGTATACTGTGATATATCAATTTAATTACTGTTCAATACACTAGCTCTTGTCATGTTGTTAACTGATATTCTGGTACTGTGAGATTTATACCAATGAGGCAAGGTTTTGCTAATTATGTTGGTATAAGATGCTCACTTCATTCATGAATACTTATGTATAACGGTTGACGGGTAATATCTTGAAATCCTTCCTTAACGCCCCCTTCCTGCTTCTCCCTTTGGCTTACCATCTCCGCCACTGTTACCATGTCCTGCATATTTTAATTCCCTGTTGATTAATTTAATACATCATGATATATTCTCTTATGTATTGATTCATTGATCGTGTTCTCATGCAAGGTTGTATAATTAAAAACCTATTCAGTGCTGTATGATTTAGGAGTTATTGATTGGAAAATGGTTTGATATAAGTGTGTAATATTCGAAGGATTAGCGTCGGTTGACTTGCCGAACTGGAAATAATGTGTCGAGGGCTCGCCGCTAGTGATGCCTGTGGCGTCACAAGATCTTTGATTTCTCAGACGGGCGGACGTGTAACGTCCAGCCCTTGCTTTAAGTGACATTTTGTGTGTTTATTTACTACTAGTATTTATAATATTATGCTGTCGTATCTATCTTGGATCAGTTCTACCGATGTACATAATTTATGCCAGGTGGTAGGTGATTTTATGTATACATATTGAGGTGGGAACCTGAGGATCTTAAGTGATGCTATTGTGCTTTGATTTTATATTTATTCCTCAGCCCCATTAATTAATGAGGATGGGATTCCATAATTATAGGATGGTGGTGTACCACCACCATCCTATAATTATGTTTACATCGTACTAGGTGCTAGTGTACCACTGCACCAGGATAGAGCCTGGTGTCAGCTAGTCACGAGGGTGTGCAGTTTAAGACCTGTTGATGATTTCGAAGAGCTTTAAGAAGCTGGATAATGTGACAGTATGAATTGGAGAGAACTGTAGTTTCTTATTGTTTTACGGTGACCAATGTTATATGCCTCAGTAAACTGGAGAATTTTTGCTAGCCTTTTACTTAACCCTAGACAAGTATTCATTTGGCCAGGCAATGGATTCCAGTGATGCTATGGAGCATGAGGTCCTGAGAAGTGTATATCCTGTGTGTAATGGACTAGAGCGTATATCCTGTGTGTGATGAAATAAAACTTGTTTTCTGTGTGCTTTTGCACAGAAAGTTCAATTGACTGATTAAATCTGTCACGCTGTGATTAAAATCCAAAAGTATTTAAATTTCATCTTTCACTTTGGCTGTTTTTGTATTTACTTTTCCCTGACCTTTAAGCATGTCTTGTTGCATTTGTAGTATATGCTGAAACTAACAAAAAATAAATCATAAACTTAAAGTCAATCTGTGTGTGACTGAAGCTGCAGAATGTTTTGGGAATAGACATTTTAATTTGGTCAACATAATAAAACAGTTCACAGAGAAATCACAGTAACGTGATATATCAATGGGAAAATCCACAAAATATCTGGGACTCCAGCTAAAATAGCTGTGTGTCCGGGAATACCCAGAGCATAGGTTCGAATCCTCGTCACTGATCCTGTCCGTTTTTTCAGTAAAGCAGATCTTTCTGAAGGTAGACGTATAATGTAAAATGTTATAAAAAATCCCCGAAGAAGAGGCAGTCCGGTTATAGGTGAGAATAAATATTTATTGAAGAATAAACTTTCCAAAGAAGTGGACCACTAACTTGTCAGGCAGACCGCTTGCTACAACAGTATCACTTGCAACACTCTGGCCATTTACCAACCCACATACGCATTTGTATGCGGACAAAATACTTACCGTAGAAAAAGTCCAACAAGAACGACATTCTAACTGGTCCTTGACAGGAGTGACGTAGCCGCGGGTACGCCAGTCCACAGCAGCTGGCAGGACCCTTGTCTGGGGGCTGAATACTGTGTTGGCCTCTCGGGACGACGAAGGTACGTATCCGTTCATCTTTTTTTTGAATTCGGCATTCGTCTGTCATATAACAATTTTGTTATCGTCATGAGGTGTTTAATGACATGTTTAATGCACTTCTATAAATATTTTACAAGTATGAGGCCAGAGGTATGATAATCTTATTAGTTATGTTTCTTACGTTCGATTTAGAACTCAGGAGAAGTACTGAAACTGGTTTAGTTAGTCAATATCAAATAGCCTCAGAATAAGAATTGCCAATGTTCTAGGTTCCTAATTAATGCTACGTGGAAGGGGATGAACTTTATGCACTGTTATACAATGTAACACTATTTTTTGTTACTGGGTAGTAAGTATTATTTTCTGGCTGCTTATGCCTCAGAATTATAGCAAATGGTTATTATTCCTCTCATAGTATTAGAGCATACAGAGCATCCCATAGCTTAGAGCTATGGGATGCTCAGGGAAGAGGTCTCTGAGGTGTTTGATGGCTACCGACTCCTTATCTAGAGCTGTGACACATTGCTTCATAAGTCAGCAGCCTTTACATACCTTCAACACGTCTTCCCTAAACTCTCTCAGTCAAAGTTTACACCATATTTTGAAGACAATTAGCGCCATTTTCTGTACTTTGGATGCATTAGCAATCAGCAAATAACACCTACTATCCAGGAAAATAATTGTCAGGCATTTACTAGTTCATAACAGCGAACGGAATATTGTGTCGTTATACAGGGGCGAACTGAATGTTGTGTCGTTGTACAGGGATGAACTGAATATTGTGTCGTTATAGAAGAGAAAACTTAATATTGTGTCGTTGTACAGGAGCGAACTGAATATTATGTCACTGTACAGGGGCGAACTGAATATTATGTCACTGTACAGGGGCGAACTGAATATTATGTCACTGTACAGGGGCGAACTGAATATTATGTCACTGTACAGGGGCGAACTGAATATTATGTCACTGTACAGGGGCGAACTGAATATTATGTCACTGTACAGGGGCGAACTGAATATTGTGTGGAAATGAAGGATCAGTGTAGTGAGATGAACCTAGTAAAGGCTCAGTGCAGAAAATTGGGCTAAATTAATGTTCGGAGAGCCATCGTCCCACCAAGCTCAAAATACGAACCCGTGTCTTCTTGACAGCGAGACGAGTATTCTGACCTCTACATCATAGGTTGTGTCAATGCTTGTTGTGAAATTTAAACATATGTTTCCGGAAATACAATAATATGTATTAGAGACTAGCACAGGATAACTTTCCGGTTCCAGTGGTTCATCCCGAGTCAAAATTCCAACACAATAATAACCACATGGCACAGAGACCAACCATGTCACCAAACTCGTTCATCGCCACGTTGTGGGTAGAGTTCCCCTTCGAAAGATTAACGATGTGCTGAAGATTTGTCTGGAACACACGCTTGCGGTGATTTTCTTCTTTTGAGTTTTTATACTTGCGGTCATATTTAGTCTGAAAATGAAAAAACTTTTGTAATAAAACTACATTCTTAGTACTTGACACACTGCACATATTCCTAATTAACACAGTAACATCTTGCAGACCTAATGACCAAACCACATATCAGAAAATGAAGAAACGACAACGTTAATACTCTTTCATAATAGTCGAGGATGGACCGAAGATTCGTCGTTTCTTCATTTTCTGATGTATGGTTTGGTTATCATACTCCAGCCACGTAATTGTGATTCATCGTCTGCATGGTGTAGGCCATTCTGATTTTACCAAGAAGCAAAATACGCATATATGCAGATTACACCTAAACATCATAGTTTTTAATGAGATCTGAACGGTTTTTAACATATTAACAAAAATCATTGGAGCCAATTCTGTTATTAAAGGTTGCTATATATTAATTTTATTTAAGTAAAAATTATTTTATCATTTATCTATTGTTTCTTATTTCTTGTTCCTTTAGCCAATGATGGGGACGAATCATAGGGATCAAGAGCAAACATCACCGGTTGAGAAAAGTTAGTTTGGTAAAAATGTCTGGAGAGAGTTGTATTGTGCCGTCATCGTTGATCGATAACTTTCGTGCATTGCGTCAAGGGAAACTGAAACGTGTTTCAGGCCAAAGCTGACATTCCCAGTTGTTTGGTATCAAAACAGGCGTCAGACTTGTCTCCAGTCTATGACGTTGACTGGAGTGGATTTAAAATGTCTATCTTATCACTCTTTCGGGATTTGCAGTTATTCTCTTCGTCTGGAACCATACAAGTGAACAATTATTGGTTATGTAAAGGAAAAGATGACAAAAAAACAGATCACAGGTGTCAAGTGTCAAGCTTGGAGAAAATGATAGATCACAGGTGACAAGTGTCAACATTGGACAAGGTAATAGATCACAGGTTTCAAATGTCAAGATTGGACAGGATGATAGATCACGAGTGTCAATTGCAATCAAGTAATAACGTGCTTGTCTTGGAAGCTAGACGTAGATATATAAGAATACTTAGCAAGAGGGTAAATATAAAAATGTTGTTGATTCCTTCTCACATTGGCCTGTAAGAACATAACAAAGTTGACGCCCTTGCTAAGGCTGCAGTAAATAAAGACAGTATTGAACGGAGTCTTGAGTTATCAAATAGGTACCTTAAAAGTGTCATTAGACAAGAACTCCTGGATGAATATGAAGAAAGTAGAACTGTGCAAACTGGAACTAGCAGGGTCATTGTTCATCACAATGAAATGTGTGAAGTAGAACATATGTATGGGGCAAGTAACAAAGTAATTAGACTAACAGATGTAGTCACAGCTCGTATAAGACTTGGCTACAAGTATCTCTGGCAGTTCGGCCTGTATATGGCTCTAAATGTGAAAGTGTAAAGTGTGTGGACAAAGACAGGGACACACTCGAACAATATATCTTGGGTTGTAGTAATATTGAGCCTTTTAGAGATAGATCTAAGCTCACTCTGTATGATATGGCAAACTATCTTATTACCATGGATAAATTACCTGAAATCCTTGCACTGTATCTACATTTCGCTTCCAGTAGATGAACGACATATGAAATGAACAAACAAGTAGTGTATTGTGAAGATTAATAATATACAGAAGCTACCCTATGACTATCTTCATTGGTCAAACTATTATGTATTAGCGATAAGACCTACCATTAATGTATAATAACTTACTGTAAACCAGACCACACACTAGAAGGTGAAGGGACGACGACGTTTTGGTCCGTCCTGGACCATTCTCAAGTCGATTGTGATGAGGAAGTAAGGGCAGGTAATAAATAGGCTAGAGAAAGGTGAGGAGCAAAGTGTAGTAGAGGGGATAGTAGGAATAAGAACTGCAGAGGGCCTATTGGCCCATACGAGGCAGCTCCTATTATAACCACTGAATGAGAAGGAGATAGTAATAGGAGTAAGAAGAGGATAGTAAGGGAACGTAAAGAAAACAATGAACAGAAAAGAGAGAAGGGAGAAAGAAAAGAAAAGAGAAAGAAAGATAAATGGAAGGGTACGCTTATGTTAGGTCACGTTTGTTTGAAAGATTAGAGCATTTAAGTATATACTGTGAAAGGAAAGAGTCCACAGCAACAAAGCCAGGACTCAAGTTCATGTTGGGTACATTGTGTATTAGAGCCGATTCAACAAGACGGCGTCTGTGTAGAGTAGAGGCAGGAAAGATTATTTTGGAGGAAGACCAATCAATAGGATGATTGGAATCCCTCACATGACAAAAGAGAGCATTGTTAGTGTCTGCAGACTTAACACTTCTCTTGTGTTCTTTAAGTCTGTCATTCAGTGTACGGCCAGTTTCGCCAAAGTATTGGAGAGGACAAGACGAACAGGAAATAGAGTAGACACCAGCAGCATTAGAAGCAGGAGGAGCAGTGTGAACTAGATTGCTACGAAGTGTGTTAGTTTGTCGAAAGGCGAGCTTTATGTCAAGAGGACGACAGGTTTTGGTAAAAGTTTTGAGTTCAGATATGAGGGGAAGGCATAGTACAGTGCTACTAGTGTTGGAAGCAGGTTTAGGATGAAAGAATTTGTGTTTTGCTTGAGAATAGGCACAGTTGATGAAATGCAAAGAGGTACCAAGGCGAGAGAATGATTTGTAGATAAAAGCTCTTTTCAGAATCAAGAAACTGAGGGTCGCTGAGGAGTAGAGCGCGGAGAAGAGAGAGACGAGGACACTTTTCTTAACAGAAGGAGGATGGTAGGAAAAGAAGTGAAAGCACATGCCACTATGCATGGGTTTACGGTAGACAGAGAAAGAGAACCCATACACAGAGCTATGAACGTGAACGTCAAGAAAAGAAAGAAGGGAATTAGATTCCCACTCAACTTTGAAACGGATAAAAGGAGTCAGATTGTTAAGAGAGGAGAGGTAAGGCTGGAAAAGACTAAGGTCATGAGGCCATAAAGCAAAAATGTCAACATAGCGAAGCCAGAGAGAGGGACGAATATCAATAGAAGGAAGAAGAACAGTTTCGAAGTATTCCATGTAGAAATTAGCAAGAACAGGGGAGAGAGGGGAACCCATAGCGACACCGAAAGTTTGAGTGTAATATTTACCGTTGAAAGAGAAAGAGTTAGAGTCAACACAGAGTCTAATGAGTTCAAGGAAAACGTCAGTGGGAAGCGGGAGAGGAAGAAGGCCCTCAGACGCCTTCTGTCTAAGGAAAGAGAGAACGTCATCGAGCGGAACATTAGTGAACACAGAGTCGACATCAAGACTAAACATCTTACAAGAGGGCTGCAGGCGCAGTCTTTCTATGAAGTCTTGAGAGTGACGAAGGTGGGCAGGGGAAAAAGTGCCAAGGTAAGGTGTCAGGGTTTTAGCGAGTCAGGAGGCAAGAGGATAACTGACGAAGAAATACGTGAAGAAATACGAAGAGAAACACCAGGTTTATGAGTCTTAAGCAGACCGTAGAAATAAGGAAGAGAAGGGCAGATGACAGGGAAACGTTTAATGAGATCAAAGTCAGGAGGGCAAAGACTAGAGAGCTGTCTTAGTTTGCGGTTAAAGGAAGTTTTGAGGCTATCCAAAGGGTTAGAAGTCAGAGGAGCAAAAGTGCAAGAGTCAGAGAGCAAGACATCTGCTTTTCGGAAGTAGTCCTCAAAGTCAATGACAACCACCGATTGCCTTTGTCGGAAGGAAGGATAAGAATAAAGTTGTTAGATTTCAGGGAGGCAAGGGCAAGCTGGAAGCGACGAGGAAGGTGGTGATTTTTAGAAAACAAGCTGTCAAGAACGGGGATAAGGGCCCCTCTAAAGGCAGACAGGTCCGAAAGAGTACTAGAGTTAGAATTGACAAACCTGTCAAAGGAACTAATGAGATCAATGCCACAGCGTGGGCCAGGGGAAGTAGCAAAAGAAAGACCAAGTCCAAGAAGTTCTTTCTGGTGCTTAGAAAGAGAGTAGGACGAAAGGTTGGTAACACAGTCTGAGAGAGAGTATTTAGCCCAAGGATTGTTGGAGATCAGGCGTTGAAGTTTGTTGTATAGTGTGGAGGAGTGGTGGGAATAGGCGACGTGAGCAGTGTCAAATGTAATTGGAAAAATGATATTGCATAGATCATTGGAAAGAGAAGAGGACAGCAAGCGTTGATGTTGACAAACAGCTAGAAAAGCCTCATCATTTTGCAAGGAGGTGGCATGAATAAGTTCTTGGAGAAGAAGGCGGGCATATTCAGGAAAAGTAGATCCCGAAGTGTTGAACCGGAGAAAGTGAGATAAAGAAAGAGGGAGAACTTGCTCAGCAAGACAGTCTTTAAGAAACCTGAGCTGGTTCTTTCGACGCTTGGCGGCAAGAAGGGAAGATTCAAAGGCGCGAAAAGGCTGTTTAAAGGAAGGTAGAGCATCGAAGAAATTAAACAGAGTAAGACGCCTACGTGTGGTATCCATATGCAGGCGATGAGTCACAATAACGTGGCTAAAGTATGATGAGCAGACCACACACTAGAAGTTGAAGGGACGACGACGTTTCGGTCCGTCCTGAACCATTCTCAAGTCGATTGTGATGAGGAAGATTGATGAAGATTAAGCCACCCAAAGGGTAGCACGGGCATGAATAGCCCGTAAGTGGTGGCCCTCTTGAGCCATTACCAGTATCAAGAGCTGATACTGGAGATCTGTGGAGGTGCGACTGCACCCTGCGTGACGGGAGATGTCTTCCCCGTGGGTTTTACAGATTGAGTGACGATGATTGATGAAGATTAAGCCACCCAAAAAATGGCACGGGCATGAATAGCCCGTAAGTGGTGGCCCTTTTGAGCCATTACCAGTATCAAGAGATGATACTGGAGATCTGTGGAGGCGCGACTGCACCCTGCGTGACGGGAGATGTCTCCCGGACCAAATGGTGGTGATGAGGAAGATGATTGATTGATGAAGATTAAGCCACCCAAAAGGTGGCACGGGCATGAATAGCCCGTAAGTGGTGGCCCTTTTAAGCCATTACCAGTATCAAGAGCTGATACTGGAGATCTGTGGA